TTGGTTTCCCTTTTCTTTGTTGAAGAGCGTCTGTGCAGTCCTTCTGCCTAGTCCGCCATCTTGCTGGAACACAGTAAGTTTAGTTTTGGAGTCTAGGTTATCCTGTTACATTGTGAAATGGACCATGTTTTCACAACACCTTACTTCTGTAATTTCCTATGCTCTAGAAAAGCCAAAACTTCTACCATGTTTAAAAAAAAAAAAAGTCTACATCTTGGAGGAGTCACATGAATGGATGAGGCAAAGTACTCATAACTTGTTGAATATGTTTATTCCTTTTACACAAGGCTGAGAGCTGAATCTACCAGTACTAGTACCAGTTGCTGTTGAGTCAGTTTCGACTCCTGGTGGCCCCACGTACGTCAGAGTAGAACTCTGTTCCACAGGGTTTTCAATAGCTGATTTTGGGAGGTAAATCACCAGGCCTTTCTTCTGAGATCCCTCTGGGTAGACTAGAACCTCCAATGTTTCAGTTAGCAGCCAAATGTGTTAACCACTGTACCATCCAGGTTTCTTCCAGATGTTCTGTCATTCATGTGTTCTTCTATTATTTAGTGAGTGACAACCAACTAAACCAAAAACCAAACTCACTGCCATTGAGTTGGATCCAACTCATAGCGACCCCTCCTTGGGTTTCTGAGGCCGTATCACTACAGAAGTAGATTGCCCAATCTTCCTTCAGAGGAGTGGCTGGTGGGTTTGAACCGCCAGCCTTCTGGTTAGCAGTAAATCCCTTAGGCACTATGTCACCAGAGCTCCCAGGCACTGGAAATACAAATGTGATCCAAGAAAATACGGGGCATGTATGCAACCTACATGCAAGTAAAAGGAGAAGTAAGGGATATGAAGGAAGTACATGTCAAGGAAAAGGACACATCTAACCCAGACTTTGGCTAATTAACAGAAGGCTTTCTAACTTATATCCAAGCTGAGACCTAAAGGATGATTAAAAGTTGGTTATGAAAGTATACAAGAGGAAGACTGTTCTATGCAAAAAAGCACATGCAATGGCCCAAGAATAAGAGAGCACAGTTTTTTCCAAAGGTGGAAGAGATAATACCAAGTTAGGGAGGGTTATAGGGCTCTGGTAGCGGCACTTGACTGCTAACCAGAAGGCTGGTGGTTCAAACCCACCAACCACTCCTCGGAAGGATGATGGGGCAACCTACTTCTGTAGTGAAACTGCTTCAGAAACCCAAGGAAGGGTCGCTATGAGTCAGGTCTGACTCGATGGCACATAACAACAACAACAAAGGGAAGCAAACTAAGAGTATAAATTCATACAACCATCTACAGAGAATTTGGGAACATGTGCAAAGCCTTAAAACACGTTCTGACATAGCAATTTCTGGGAATTTAGCTTATGAAAATAATTTAACATGCATACAATGATTTAGCTACAAGGAAAATAAATATGCTACTACTTATAAGAGCAAAATATTTAACACAACCTAAGTATCTTTTGAAGACTAGTTAAATAAATTACAACACAATCATATTTTGGAATACTCTGCAATCATTCTGAATTGTTTTGAAGATTAATATTTACTGACACAAAAAAATATTCCAGTGGTATGTTAAGAGGAAAGCAAGCTATGATACAATACAGTATTATGGTTTAGATCTTATTTCAAAAAATACATGAGCCTCCTGAAAAAAAATTATATATATATATATATATATATATATAGACACACATACACACACACGTATATATGCAGTAGTAAATTACTTAGTATGGCTTTTCTACCCATAAGTCATTGTAAACTCAGTGGTGGAATGAGCAACTGAGGAGCTGATTGTAAATGTTATCCAAGTGGAGTATTTCTGTTGGGCGTGGCACAATATAATGTTCTGGGAGGTGCCCACTTTCTCTCAGGTGCTTAGAGTTCTGCTTCTATGATTGGCTAGTTTGACCACCCTGCCAGGCTCAAAAGGAGGCCTCCTAGAGGCAGAACTCTCTCTCTGACTGCTGGTTGAGGAAGACGTGCTGCCGAAAGAGACACGCACCCCTGAAAGAGACAGGCGTTGCTGGGAAAGAGACGCAAGAGACACGCATTGCTGAGTGAGACACCGAGGGACCAGTGCTGCTGGGAAAGAGACTGTGAGAGACTGTTGGCCGAGGGACGGTGGGCTGGGAGACTGAGCATTTTTCTTGAACTTGAGTTGTAGCCTGGTGCTTCCCTAATAAACCCCATAATCTGTGAGTTTTGTGTGGCCACTGCAGTGAATTATCGAACCCAGGAGAGAGGTGGTGGGTGCTTTGGGAGGAACGGTTGGTGAAAGGGCTAGAGGGAGGCAGCATGTCTGGCCTTGCAGTAATAGGCCTTGGGTTACTGCTGGTAATCCTGCCTTCCCCTTGTAGGGTTAGAGGAGGTCAGAACATGTGGCCTCCTTGTCGTTTTTCCAATATATATATATAAATAAATCTGTTTATTTCTAGATTGTAGAATTATAAAAGTTTTTAGCTTCTCTTTTTCCTTATCTTTCTTTCTAAAATTTCTTCAAGGAACATATAATACTTTGTTAATAAGAAATGTTAGTCATTTATTAACTTTTTAAAAGATGCAACTGTCCCATCAGTGAACTGAGATGAATTAGGCCTTCCATTCAGTTCTCAGCCAGCAGGATATGAGGGGAAAAAGGGAATATGAATTCCTGGAAAGAAATCTAAATAGTACATCTCCACACTACTGCCCATAAACCCTCTTTCTCTCAACACATACCTGGACAAATCCAAATGGGAAAAAACGCTCTGTCTGTCCCTGGGAACCATAATGAAAGGTTTGGCGCCAGTCTTCAATGAGTGCCGGGAAGGTGCAATTGTACAGGTCCTTATTATAATTTGTATTGGACTCTCCTAGAAACAGTCAAAACTGTGAGAAGGGTTTGGGATAGACTACAAAATGGCCACCCATTATTACTTTCCTCTACCCATGCCCTTTGGTAGGTTGCCTTCACATTCTCTCTGGACTGGCCTTGTGCCTTGCTCAGCCAAGGTGATGTGAGCAGATATATTTCAAGCTCTCTTTGAGATACATATGGGTCCCTGAGAAAACCATGTAAATGCATCTGAATGAGCTTGCTGCAAGATGAGTGACCACAGGAGAACCATGACACCCCAGCAGATACACAAGCCCCAGCCAACTGACATCCTAGGTCACCCAGCCAGCAGAAAACTTGCCAGGTGACAAAAGATGCATAGATGATCCCAGAAGAAATTAGCTGAGCCACCCAGACCCACAAATAGTAAGCTAAAGAAAAGTATTGTTTTAAGCCACAAAGTTCTGGAGCTAATTAAATACTCACCCTGGTACCATATCACGCCTTTCAGGGTCATATTATGTAGTGGGTGAATCATGGCATTCCAGAGCACCGAATGCTCACTGGGACCAAGCACAGAATCAGAAAAAGGTGCCCTGAAATACATAAAATACATGAGCAACACCAGAGAGCTAGTGACTGATTCCTTGATGTCTCTAAACTGGCATGCTCCAGCTTCTGCTGGGGTTAACTTGCACTGAAAGCAAAACCAAATGAAAGTGAACTGCTTTGCTTCACTTAAAGAGATGAACTCTTTGTCTCTGACTTTCACCTCCAGGATCTTTCCAAGGCAGTATATAAGCAAGCTTTCTGTAAGTTCAGAGTGGGTCATGACACTTAATTATCAGATAAGGTAATTAAAGCCAGAGAGGAGGGGTCTTTTATCATGAGTCTCTAATACAAAGAAAACAATTACTTAACAAGTACTTGGTTGGTTTTAAGCTTTTTGCTTTTATAAAGAATGCTATGAATATCTTCCATGTAGCTTAATCATTGCATACATGCTTAATTATTACCTTAAGATAAATTGCCAGAAATTAAACTGTAGGGTCAAAAGATACACTTTTTAAGACTTGAAACATTTTCCCAAATTTCTCTATAGAATGCTTGTATGAATTTATACTCTTAGCAGTTTTGTATGAACATGAGTGCTTCCCCATACTCTCTAGATACCTAGGAGACTGGGGTGGGCTAAGTCTGATACTCCCTCCTACTCTATTGTAGGCCATTCTCTCTGTCCCAAAGTTAAATGTCTTCACTCTCCCACAAGCAACTTTTATTCAAGTTGTTACTCTTCCTAGATGCCGTCTTAGAGCAAATGAGGCAGAAGTTCACATATTCTTAATCTCTATGTTAATAACGGTATTGAGATTTTTGTTACCTAGCCCTTTCTCCATCAAAATATTATTCCTGATCTAGCTTTTCCTAAGTGTGCTTTCATAGTCAGTATACTAATACAATTTTTAATTATATGTTTATATTTTGTTTTTCCTATTGGATTTTAGAGAGGAGGCAGCACGTGGTGGGTTTGGAGCCAGCAGCCAGAGGAGAGAACCAGGAAGAAGAGATGGTGTGCAGCAGGTTCAGAGCCAGTTGCCAAAGGAGGGAACCAGAAAGAGAAAGAGGCAGCACACAGCGGGTTGAGAATATCTGAGTGAAACCAGGAAGTGAGTGGAGCAGTTTGGAACAACTAAAGGAGACGAACTTGTCTGTCAGTTTGTGGTACTGTTTGTGGTGGCTTGTATGTTGCTGTGAAGCTGAAGGCTATGTCACTGGTATTTCAAATGCCAGCAGGGTTACTCATGGTGGAGAGGTTTCAGTAGACCTTCCAGACTAAGACAGACTCAGAAGAACAGGCCATCCACATCTCAAACAATTGCCCAGGGAAAACCTTATGAATAGCAGTGAAATACTATTACTAGAAAATTTTATAAATACCCCTGAAACACAGTCCAATATAGTGTCAGAAGATGAACCCCTCAGGTTGGAAGGCACTCAAAATAAGACTGGGGAAGAGCTGCCTCCACAGAGTAGAGCAAACCTTAATGATGTGGACAGAGTTAAGCTTTCGGGACCTCCATTTGCTGATGTGGAATGACTCACAATGAGAAGAAACAGCTGCAAACATCCATTAATAATCAGAACACAGAATGTACTAAGTATGACTCTAGGAAAATTAGAAGCTGTCAAAAATGAAATGGAATGCATAAAGACTGATCTCCTAGGCTTTAGTGAGTTGGAATGGACTGGTTTGGGACATTTTGAATCAGACAACCATATGATCTACTATCTACAAATTAAAGAAAAATGGTGTAGCATTCATTATCGCAAAGAATGTTTCAAGATCTATCATGAAGTACAATGCTGTCAGTGATACAATAATATCCATATGCCTACAAGGAAGACCAGTTAATACTACTATTATTCAAATTTATGCACTAACCACCAAAGTCAAAGATGAGGAAATTGAGGAAGATTTTTACCAACTTCTGCTGTCTGAAATTGATCAAACACGCAATCAAAATGTGTTGATTATCACTGGTGATTGGAATACAAAAGTTGGAAACAAAGAAGAATCACTGGTAGTCGGAAAATATGGCCTTGGTGATAGAAGGAACACTGGAGATCGCATGACAGAATTTTGCAAGATCAACAATTTATTCATTGCAAATACTTTTTTTGAACAACACAAATGGTGGCTATACACATGGACTTCACCAGATGGAGTGCACCGGGATCAGACTAACTGGAAGAGGCAGTGAAGAAGCTCAATATCATCGGCCAAAACAAGACCAGGAGCTGGTTGTGGAACAGACCATCAACTGTTCATATGCAAGTTCAACTTGAAGCTTAAAACAAGTCCAGAAGAGCCAAAATATGACCTTGATTATATCCCTCCTGAATTTAGAGACCATCTAAAGAATAGATTTGATACATTGGACACCAATGACCAAAAACCAGAGGAATTGTGGGAGGACAGCAAGAACATCATCCGTGAAGAAAGCAAAAGGTCATTAAAACAACAAAAAGGAAGAAAAAACAAAAGGGATGTCAGAAGAGACTCTGAAACTTGCCCTTGTGGAGAATAGCTAATGCAAATGAAAGAAATAAGATAAAAGAGCTGAACAGAAGATTTCAAAGAGCAGCTCCAGAAGACAAAGTCAAATATAGTGAAATGTGCAAAGACCTGGAACTCAAGCTGAAAGAACTGAAGAAAAAATTAAGCCTCTAGTTGCAATATTGAGACATACTATGGGCAAAACATTGAATGATGCAGGAAACATCAAAAGAAGATGGAGGGAATACACAGAGTCATTGTACCAAACAGAATTGGCTGATGTTCATCCATTTCAGGAGATAGCATATGATCAAGAATCAATGGCGCTGAGGGAAGAAGTTGAAGCAGCACTGAAGGAATTGGCGAAGAACAAAGCTCCAGGAATTGATAGAATACCCACTGAGATGTTTCAACAAATGGATGCTGTGCTAGTAGCACTCACTTGGCTATGCCAAGAGATTTGGAAGACAGCTACCTGGCCAACTGACTGGAAGAGAGCCATATTTGTACCCATTCCAAAGAAAGGTGAGCCAAGAGAATGTGGAAATGATCGAACAATATCATTAATATCACATGCAAGTAAAATCTTACTGAATATAATTCAAAAATGGTTGCAGCAGTATATTGACAAAGCTCTTCCAGAAATGCAAGCTGGATTCAGAAGACGATGTGGAACAAGGGATATCATTGCTGATGTAAGATGGATTTTGGCTAAAAGCAAAGAATACCAGAAAGATGTCTATTTGTGTTTTATTGACTATATGTATAAAAGCATTCAATTGTGTGGATCCTAACAAATTATGGATAACGTTGAGAAGAATGGGAATTCCAGAACACTTCATTGTGCTCACGAGGAACCTGTACATAGACCAGGAGGCTGCTGTTCGAAAAGAACAAGGGAATGGTTGAAAATCAAGAAGGAAGTGCATCAGTGTTGTATCCTTTCACCATACTTATTCAATCTGTATACTGAGCAAATAATCTGAGAAGCTGAACTATATAAAGAAGAATACAGCATCAGTATTGAAGAAACGGTCATAAACAACCTGTGATATGCAGATGACGCAACCTTGCTTACTGAAAGTGAAGATGACTTGAAGCACTTACTGATGAAGATTAAAGACTACAGTCTGCAGTATGGATTACACCTCAACATAAAGAAAATGAAAATCCTCACAACTGGACCAATAAGCAGCATCCTGATAAGTGCAGAGAAGATTGAAGCTGTCAAAGATTTCATATTGCATTGTTTGACAAGCAACACCAATGGAAGCAGCACTCAAGAAGTCAGACGACAAATTGCACTGGGAAAATCTGCTGCAAAAAGACCTCTTTGAAGTGTTGAAGAGCAAAGATGTCTGCTTGAAGACTAAGATGTACCTAACCCAAGCCATGGTATTCTCAATTGCCTCATATGCATGTGAGAGCTAGACAATGAATAAGGAAGATTGAAGAAGAGTTGATGCATCTGGTGCTGGTGAAGAATGCTGAAAGTACCACGGACTGCCAAAAGAACTAACAGATCTGTCCTGGAAGAAGTATAGCTGAATGGCTAGACTTTGTCTCACCTACTCTGGTCACACTGTCAGAAGAGACCATTTTCTGGAGAAGGATATCATACTTGGTAAAGTGGAGGGTCAACAAAAAAGAGGAAGGCCCTCAACAAGATGGACTCATACAGTGGCTGCAATGAGGGACTCAGTTATAGCTGGGATCATGGAGCTAGCACAGGACTGGGCAGTGTTTCGTTCTGTTGTGCATAGGATCACTATGAGTCAGAGAAGACTCGATGGTACCTACCAACAAAAACAACAAACAACACTGGATTTTTATTCTTATAGGCAATACAGCACAAGGGTTAAGAACACAGACATTGAAACCAGCACTTGCCACTTACTAAGCCTGTCCATTGGCAAGTCTTTCTGAGACTTACCATCTTTAGACATCATATATTACTAGTATGTACACTTCATAGGTTGTTGTATTATATGAAATAATACATATAAACTACATAAAATAGTATAGAAAGCTTTCAGTAAGTTTTAGCTATCACTATTAAGAAGGATCACAATCTCTGCCTGACACAATCTGAGATGATTGTGGTACTGATAAGAGTGAAAGCATCTTACCTCTGCATGGAATAACTTACACATAATTAATGCATATTTGGACACTTAGATCATACTTGATTTACTAAAACCCAAAAGGAGACTAAGACCCTTCTCTCTTACATAATTCCTGGTAGGTTTTCTCCCAGGCTGAGTGCCCACCCATTTGGGCATTTCTGAAGGGTGCTCTCTTACCCTTGCTTAGGGACTCCACAGGCTTTCAGTGACCTTCCAGATGACCAGGCTTCAATGGGTGAGCCACCCCAGATGGAGGATATCAGTCCAATGGGGTACTGTAGAGTGTCATACAAGTAACGCCCAAAAAGCCAGCACACTGCTGACATGTACTGGAAATTCCCATGGCCTAAGTTTTCTGCTCAAAGAAATAGTCACAGAAAAAAAGTCAGGAGAAAAGTAGATGGATATGAACTATAGCTACTAGATGAGTCTAGATGAAAATGATGGGTATAGGTTATTCCCTGTCTTCCTTTCTAAGACTTCCCAAAACTAAGGTAAGATTGAAAGGCCATGAAGAGACATATCTCCTGCTGCCTAGAGGTTCCCTCCACACTCTTACTCTCCTTATTGGTCTAGATGTTATCATCCCTTTCAAACTTGCCCAAGGAGAATCTTTCCCAAAGGGGAAAAATACAGCCTTAGTGACAGTTTTATCTATCTTCATTGTTTGTATTGTGCTAAATACATGTGTAACAAAATATTTGACATTTCAACAATCTTCACATGTACGGTTCAGTGCTAACATTTTAATTGTAGCCCAGTCATACCTGGTCAAACTGCTGACCTACAACCTGTAAAACAATAAACTTGTGTTGTTTAAAGCCATAAAGTTTGTAGTAATTTGTTATGGCAACACTAGGAAACTAACACAGAATGACATGTAAAAGTTCATGCTTTGAGAAGATCAATGTGACATTGTGCATATGGTGAACTGTAATGGAATAGAACAGTTCTATAGTTCACATGGAAAGTAATGAAAGCTTGAACTGGAATAAGGGCATTAAGAATAAATAGGTACCAAAAACTCAAATCAAACACACTGTAGACCAAACTCACTGCCATCAAGTCATTTCCGACTCATAGAGACCCCCACTGGGTTTCAACGGCTGTGAATCTTTATGAAAGTAGATTGCCCTGTCTTCCTTCTGTGAAGCAGCTGGTGGGTTTGAACCACTGACCTTCCAGTTAGCAGGCAAGTGCCTTATCCACTATGCCACCAGCACTCCTGGAATAAGGGCATTAACAATAAATAAGGAAGGGGGCCGGATATGAAAGATATCTTAGAGAAGGAACCTACTAGGCTCAATTACTTTCATATGCAGGGTGAGCAAGAGGGAAAGGTCAGAAGTAACCTGGAATATATAAGCTTGGGTGATTGGGAGAATGATGATGCCCTCCACACAACAGAAAGAACGGAAGTGAGACTTGGAAAGCTAGTTCAAATAACAAAGTATAAAATATTTGGGAGAAAAGATGGAAAGTTTTGTTTTGAATAAATTAAAATATATAGGATGAGTAGCCAAACAAAATGCTTAAGAGACCTTGGAAATTTAAGTATGCTGCTCCAAGGAAAGGTGGACTAAAGGTAACAATGTCAAAGTCATTTTTCCCCTCCCTCCTCCAGCTATTAGGAGCTCTGGTGGCATAGTGCCTAAGGTATTTGACCGCTAACCAGAAGGCTGCAGGTTCAAACCCACTAGCCACTCCTCGGAAGGAAGGTTGGGCAATCTTCTTCCATAGAGATACTGCCTCAGAAACCCAAAGAGGAGTCGCTCTGAGTCGGATCTGACTTGATGGCAGTGAGTTTGGTTTGGTTCCAACTACTCCCCATTTTCTCCCTCCTTTTCCAATAAAACTCTCTTGAACTTACTTTATCAGGGTTTCTCCACTATCAATCACTCTACCAAACTATTCTCATCAAGGTTATCAATGGTCTCCACATTGCTAAATAAATCACTGCCATTGAATTGATTCTGACTCATAGTGACCCCCACTAGGTTTTCAAGGCTGTAAATCTTTACAGAAGTAGATTGTCCTATCTTTCTTCCATGGAGCAGCGGGTGGGTTTGAACCACCAACCTTCTGGTTAGCAGCCAAATACCTTTCCACTGCTCCACCAGAGCTCCTACATTGCTAAATATAAAGGTCAGTATTAACTGAACCAATCAATAGCCTTTACACGGGTGGTCACTCCTTCCTCCTTGAAAAGCTTTCCTCTTTTGGCTTCCAGGACAATGCATTCTGGTTTTCATCCTATTTCTGTGGTTTCTTCTTCTTAGTACCCTTTGCTTGTTCCTTGTCATATTCTCAGCTTCTAACACTGGCATGGAATGCCTTAGGACTGCCACTGGATCTCTTTATCTATACTCGTTTCTAAAACTCTTTTTCAATTATACTCAGTTCCTTAATGATCTCATCCAGTGGCTTTAAATACTTACCTATACGCTTAAGACTCCCAAATTATGATGTCCTTCTTAAACTCTCCCCTGAACCCTCAACCTATATATTTAATTGTCTCTGGAAATCTCCACTTGGAATGTCTAATAGGCATCTCAAATTTAACATGCCCAAAACCAAACTTCTGATCTTGCTTCAACTTACTATTGCTATACTCTTCATCATGATAAATGGGAACACCATTCTTTCTGTTACTCAAGCAAAAATATTTGAATTGCTCTTGACTTTGCTTTTGCTTAAACATTCTACACCTGATCCATCAGTAAACCATGGTTTATCTACCTCCAAAATGAATAGAGAAACCAGCCCATTCTAACAAACTATTCTCTTATCCCCCTGGTCCATCACCCTTACCTGTATTGCAATAGTCTCCTTTCCTGCAATGCTATCTCTCTTCCACTTATTCTCATTACAAAAGAGTGTGGTCCTTTTAAAACATTAAGTCACTTCTCTGCTCAATGGCCTCAAATGGCTCCTGTCTTTCTCAGAGTAAAAGTCAAATTCCCTAGACTTTCTGTCCTGTCTCCATTGCTTCTCTGACCTCATGTCTTCCTACAGACCCTTAATTCACTCTGCTTTAGCTTCACTGGCTCCTTTGCATTTCCTCAAACTTTCTAGGCACAGTTCTGCCTTGGGGACTGTGCTGTTTGCTCTGAAAGAATGCACTTCCCCACATATGTGCACTGTCCCACCTCTTCCAGGTTATTACTGAAATGTGCCTTCATAGTTGGATTTCCCTGGCCATTCTAAATTGCATACCACTACCTACTCCAAAGAAGCTCTGGCAGCATAGTGCCTAAGGCACTTGACTGCTAACCAGAACGCTGGCGGTTCAAACCCACCAGCCACTCCTCAGAAGGAAGGTTGGGCAATCTACTTCCGTAGTGATACTGCCTCGGAAACCCAAGGAGGGGTCGCTATGAGTTGGGTCCAACTCAACAGCACATAACAACAATAACAACCTACTCCCAAGTCCAACACTCCCTTTCCGTCTTCCCTGATGTATTTTACTTATTTACTGTTGTCTCATTTACTTACTTTTGTCATCACCATCTAACCTATCCTTTCATATTAAAATCTACTCAATTTCTGAATTCAGAGAGTAAGACTTGGAAAGGAAGCTCAAATAACAAGGTGTATTATCCAAGTCCAACTGATTCCTAAATTTTGGGTAACATGTTGTAAAAGTTCATATAGCAAAGGATTCATCCAAAAATTATCTGAATCTATTCATTTCATGAGTTCTTACAGGGAAAGAGAGAAGACATCAGCTATTTTGTATATAATTTACTAATTATATTACTCATTTTCTGAGTTCTCCCTACACTATAATGTAAGCTCCTTGAAGTTAGGTGTTCTTGTCTGTTTAATTCATATTATTTCCCCAACACTTAGAATAGTACCTACCACATATAGACATTCAAATATTTTTTACATGCATTAGTAGCTGAAAGTGTAGAACAATTGAGATTACTAAGGTAAAGCACATACAGACAAAAAAAAGAAAAGGGCATCACAAGATCCTGATGGATCACATTTGGAGAAAGGAATTGAAGAAAGCAAAGAAACAGGGAGGAAGAACTGAGAGGAGAAGTAGTAGGAAAAGGAAGTATCACAGAAACTATGGGGAATATGCAAGGGACTGTCCAGCAGTGTTAAATGCTGCAGAGAGGTTAAGGTTTCTGAAAACTAAAAATAGGTCTCCAGGGAATATAATTAGAAAAAAAGTAATAAGTGAATAAATTGTTGAAGTGGAAGCAGAAGCCAAATGACAAAGGCTTAAAAAGTGAATGCATGGAAAGGCAGTGAAAAGATTTAAAACTGATGTTGTAGAAAGGTTTGACAAAGGGAAGGAGAGAGGTGAGGCAGCAATGAGAAGGGTGTGTGTTATGATCTGCTTTGTTTTGTTTTGCAAGAACAAAGAAACTAAGTTCTGAGAGCAGGGTCTATATCTTATTCACTGATGATCCTCAAGCCCTACCACACAGCCTTACTTGGAAATACCACAAAATAAAGATTTAGTGAAAGGACAGAGTAGGGGAAAAACAGAGCCTATAGGACAGAAGGCCCCCTGAAGGGCATAAGAGGCTCCATTAAGTCCCAGTCAATTGTCTTCAGACACAAAAACAAAGAAAGAAAAGAGGAAAAGAGAGAAGTGGGCAAAGCTGGTGCTAAATGGCCTTAATATTTCCAGTGAAGTTAAAGGAAGGGTCATCTGCTCATGGCATGTGGGCAGATTCTTTGATAGAGTCTTGGGAAGAAAACATATAAAACAGTCAATGTCAGTAATGGAACGCAGAGCCAGTAAGAAATTATTAAAAGCCTTAAAAACTCACAAGCAGCTATCTAAGATATAACTGTGGTCTCTACTTAACTAGAACAAAAGAGAAAGAAGGAAACCAAGACTCAAAGAAGAAACTAGTCAAAACAAAGAGTCTATATGAACCACAACCTCACCTACCCTGAGACCAGAACTGGATGGCACTCAGCTACCACTACCAACTGTTCTAATCAGGGCCACAATCAATGGACCCTGACAAAATGGGAGAAAAATGTGGAGCAGAACCTCAAATTCCTAAAAAAAATAAAAATAAAAATAGCCTACTGGACTGCTTGAAATTGGAGGACTCCCCAAGACTATCACCCTGAATTACTCTTCAGACCTTGAACAAACCTAACTCCTGAGGTGACCTTTTAGCTAAATAACAAATTAGCTCAAAAAATACTATCAATCACCCATAAGTGCTGTGGTCCTTTAAAAAATAACATATATGAGACCAAACAGTCAATAATTACTTTAATACAAAAATGAGAACATAAGGGGGCAGGGAAACTAGACTAGTGGAACTGGAACAACGAGAAGGAAAGGAATGAGAATGTGCATGCACCATGAAGAATGTAACCAATGTCAGTGAACAACGTGTATAGAAACTGTTGAATGAGACTCTAAACTGCTGTATAAACCATCACCAAAAACACAACAAAATATTAAATCCAAAAAAAATTGTAAAAACATTAATGAGTGATAATAAATAAAGAACCAAATTTGGGACTACAAATTCTATTTATATGAGAGATGGTATGTTTTTAAGCAGTCACTTACCTGAGGTGGGCTTAGACCATGGCAAGTCAAGCCCAGCAAGGTCTTCCAGCTCCTCCTTTGACTGAACAAGAGAAGCTGAGAGAATGCGAACAGACTGATAGGCAGCAGTATCAGACATCTCTCTTGTAGCATTAAATATCTAGAAAAGAAATAGGAATCTCATTTCTTAAACCAACCTAGCGGGTGATCAAATATCCTGCCACCACTTAGTAAATACTGTCAACCTTCGGAGCTTTACCCACAACACAGCAAGATCAAGTGAATCACTAAAACTAATACCAGGCTGGACTGAATCACCTTGATCCAATGTAATCCAGCTTGATCAACAACAGAAGCTGTGATGAACCATGTCCCCAAAGATCTGGGTAGGAATATAATAAAGCTTATGATTTGAAGGCCTGTAAAACCAGTTGCCATTGAGTCAATCCTAACTCATGGAAACCCATGTGTGTCAGAGTAGAACTGTGCTCCATAAAATTTTCAATGGCTGATGTTTTGGAAGTAGATCACCAGGCCTTTCTTCCGAGGTGTCTATGGGTAGACTCGCATCCAATCTTTCAGTTAGCAGCTGAGTATGTTAACTGTGCCAAGTGGGGACTCTGTAATCTTAAGGAGCATGCCCATACTAGACAATAGGAATTACAAAGTGGCTTAGCCTAAAGACGACTGACGATCAATTAGATCACTGTGATTATCTCAGAACTAAAATACTTCTACTTAGAAAAAGTATCTGGCCCCTACAAGCCATGGCAGTCAATTTCTTAAGAGGGTGGTGCTTACACAGTCTATGCAGAACTATAAAGGCCATGGATGGTGGACTATTGTGCGTCCAAACCAAAACCAAACTCACTGCTGTCGAGTCAGATCCGACTCATAGTGACCCCTCCTTGGGTTTCCGAGGTGGTATCACTACGGATGTAGATTGTCCAACCTTCCTTCCGAGGAGTGGCTGATGGGTTTGAATCGCTAGCCTTCTGGTTAGCAGTCAAATGCCTTAGGCACTATGCCACCATAGCTCCATTGTGTGTCCATACCACACAAGGAGAACTGTATTCAAAAGAAACACACCTGGGAAATATGTGTTGAACTACTAACGTGTTCTGAAATTGGTCTCAAAATACTTGTATTCTCACCTCGGTCCTGATACCTCACCAAAGAGAAGCATGGGAGACATGGATATACAAAAGGTGGTGTTCGGGGTGATTACTTGAAACAGTCTCAAGAAACGAGACAAAGAAAAGGATCCATCCAAAGAAATATGTTTTCCCAAATCATTCTATAAAATTTTTCAGTTGCAAAGAGTACTATAGGAATGGCTTAGGTTTTTCCTGGATAAGAATGTGTGCTATATTATGGTTTCTTTGTTAGATTTTGTTTTCCTTGAAGAGCTTACACACAATTGTTATTTCCTTTCATCTTGATTTTTTAATTATGTTTTTCATGTAAAAAGAAAAATGTTTCTGGAATATATTTTAGTTTTTTATTTGTGTGTTTGTATTTTGGTGAACCTTTTCTCTGCACAACTCCCCCACACACACACCGCCTTCCTCTAAGACTAGTCTACCTTCTCCCAAAACAAAGGGCTAAGAGAAGCATCAGGAGGCCCAGTTATCATTCGCCTCAGGGAACAAGCGCTCCAGCTGAGAAGGGGCTGCCATAGAGCTATGCACAGGAGGCTGGGACACTTTCCATTGGCTCCTAGCCACAGAGGGTACAGCTGGCTCACTTTCCCTCCCACTCACCACAGAGAATACAGCTGGCCCTCCAGCCTGCAGTGTAAAAGAAATGATGGAGCGGTCAGGGTGGCCCCCCAGAGCGTTTTCTGACTTGCCACTGAGCCTGCTGTGGCCAGTAAGATGAGCAGATGCAAATGAAATGCTTTTGGTCATAATGGGAGCCACAGGCTGAAGTGTTCCCTGGGTAGCAAAAGCTCTGGTCCCTCAGTGGTCTTCCCACTCTCAACACAGAAGTTATATATGGTCTCAGGACAATTCATAGGAAATCCAGAATTGTTTGTTCAGGGCCTTGCCTGGCACAAGTAAAATAAGCAGTAAGACTAAGAACAGGCTAATGCACTCACAGTATATTCTGGCAAGGAAAGTATTTTTCAGCACCAAGTACTTGTAAAAAGTCACCTCTCTTGAAATTCAGTTCTGCACTAAGCACTAAGGATCGTATGTTGCTTCCATGGAAACAGTGGATGAAACTGCATTCCTTCTCTCCACCCACACCAGCTTCCGCAGTGACTAGGAACTCAAGTGCCTCACTGCAAGGAGATGCCAGCTTGGGAAGGCAGTATGGGAGGACATGTTACTGTCTTTTAGATCCACTATTAATACCGTGTACCGCAAGGCCAATACTCCGAGGGGTTGGGGTCTCCTATTTCATCACAAGGACACAAAACTGGATCTAAAACAATGGCTAGAAAACTTCCATTTTCAAACTCACTTTTGTATAATATTTCAAGCCAAAACATGAAAGCCACAGAAAGTGTTAACAAATATGGGCTGGGGAAAATATTCTTGCTGTACCTGATGACAATTAATTCTGGAATTGGTATCCTTTCCCCATATCACTAGGCCTTTTTGATGGAAGCATTTCCTCGAGGGAGATTGGCAGCAAATTTAGGAATAAAGAGATTTCAGGAAGATTTTCATTTAAATGACACTTGGTTTCCCTGCTGATGAAAGGGAAAGCCTACTCCATCTGCTGAGATCAGATTTCATCTCATCAAACACCTCAGTATAATTATTTTTCTACTGAGTATTTAAATGAGGATGTAAATGAAAACCAAGGTATTTGAAGTCATTAACGCTGCAGCGGCTGAGAGACAGTACTGCTGCCTCCCTAGGGAAGGGACCCCATTCACCATCAAAGCAGCTGCTTGCCTGTGTTCATTTTGTAACCTTTACACCACATTCTTGAATTAATGAAGAAACGTCAAGAATCCATTCCTCAGAAAGTCTTGGCATGGGGTCTGCATGGAGAGCAAGGCATGTGTGAGTGTGTGAGTGGATGTATGTGAGTATATATGTGCATTGGAAGGACATAAGGAATCTTAACTTACTTAAAAGAACTGGGATATTGTGAAATTATTCTACCTTATACTGTGTAATATAGCAGTTCTAAAATTGAGTTAATAACTATAAATGAACCAGCCATCATAACTCCCATGAAGTGTTTACTGTAATCTATCAACCTTTCTCTTCTGGATTTTAACTTATCTACTTGGAAAGTATGGATGTAGGCATTGCCAAGCTATTAAAAAAATGGGTTCCCTGTCCAACATTAATACGCTGGTAGTGCAGTGGTTAAATACTCAGCTACTAACCAAAATTTGGTCGAACCTACCAGCTGCTCCATGGGAGAAAGATGTGGCATTCTGCTTCCATAAAGATTTACAATCTTGGAAATCTCTAGGCATTTCCACTCATAGGGTCACTATGAGTCAGAATTGACTTGACAGCAACGGGTTTTCTATCTAACACTGGCTATCTTTTTCTGAGCCTAACTGAAAATATCCAAGCCTTAAGACCTACCGTGACTCAGGAGGCAGCAGATGAACATTTAGACTTTTCTGCACTTATAAACATCTCACTCAGTGTTATAAATAACACTCAACTTAAAAATTCTACTTTACCCTAACAACAAGATGCGCATACAATCTGCCATTTCCTTTATTTGAATATGAAGAGTGTGATAGATTATAGTAGGAATCTTACCTCCTCAGAAATCATGTGGAAGGAGAGAGGGAAGGAGAAAGAAACAGTACATGTGTGCATGTGTGTCCTGAGTGTGTGTGTGTATGTGTTGGGGGTGTATGTGTTGGGGGGCGGTGTATGAGAAAAGGAGTCTGTATGAGAAAAGGAAAAAGAATAAAGGGAGAGCCATGTAGAGTATCCTTTTGTTCAAAAAACTCAAGTTTTACAGACTGTTAAAAGACTGGAAAACTTGGCTTTTGGTACTGTCAGCCCCTAAAATGCCATCTTGCAGAATAAGTGCAAGATTTAAAAAAAAAAAAAAAATTAACACTTGGATGTTTCACATGGAATCTTTCTTCTCTTTCCCTGCAGTCTTTCTTAGCTTAGTACAGAAGATGCTTAATAGTAAATTCTAGGCAGAAGGAATGTGTTTACTCTTAACAATCAAAATCTGATTTAGCATGACACAAAATGGGACAGGATCCCCTGGCATAGACTGCTATTGAGAACATGATGATATAGACACAAACAGATCTGGTCTGTGCCATTCTGTGCAAACAGGAAACTGCAATTAAAGCATTAAGGAAAGTACTGTTTTCCTTAATGAGTTAACAGTAATTTCACTTCTATACAAAACACCATGCTTTCTATCACGAGGTGCAACTTCCCTTTTACTTCATGCCCTTATGCTAAAAGACAGCCTATATTCAAAATTCATTTTAATAAACAATTAAATGCAAAAAGCTTCTATATATTTAAGTAAGGCAGGAGACAATAACAAATAAAATATTGGTTACAAAGACATAAATGTAAGAATTTAGCTCATGAATTAGAAAACTAATCATGAAATGAAGTAGATAGAGCCAGAGTAGGATTTTTTTGGCAGCATCAGTTAGAATAGATTTAAAATAGAAAAAGAAAAAAAGAAGAAATGATGCAGAGTAGAAGTTATAGAAGCAAAAAAAAAAATTATAAAATCATAAATAGTCATAACATAAAAGGACTCAATTTTATACATTTCTCAAAAGAAGAAATGAATTGAGACTATGGTCAAATTGTAGAGATTTTTAGATTTGAAAGATGGAAGAGGATATAATGAAAGAAAGGTAGGAAAATTAAAATCAATGTGAGAAGAAACTGAATTTTAGAAAAATAGGTGGGAAAACAGTAATTTTTCCAAGTTCTTAACCTACTAAAGAAAATAAATCAAAGTATACAAAACATATAGTGCCAATCAATAAATCAATTTGAAAAAATATATTCCTAAAATTCTCATTAGGAGTTCTGGTGGCGGCATAGTGCCTAAGGCATTTGACTGCTAACCAGAAGGCTGGTGGTTCAAACCCAACAACCACTCCTCAGAAGAAAGGTTGGGCAATCTACTTCCGCAGTGATATCACCTCTGAAACCCAAGGAGGGGTCGCTATGAGTCAGGTCTGACTCAACAGCACATAACAACAACAACAACAACAAAATTCTTATTTATGTAATGTGCCTCTTTGTTGTAAACTGAACCCTTGATAGTTAAGAGACTGGTTAAGCCAATTTCAATTTTTTATTTTTATAATCTTTTTTAAAAGATTATAGTTATTACATGTTTGTTATAGAAAATACAGGTAAGCAAAGAGAATTCACCCCAATTTCAAGCTTACCAAAGAACTTAATGGTGTTAATTTCTCTGGAGATCAAATGCTAAGCAAAAAATATTTAATAATCTTTTAGCAACATTTTAAGTTCATATATTTTAAGTGTTTCCAAGGACTTGCTATTTTACTATCAATCCCTGATCCTAATTTAAATGAAGAAACAATAGTCTCCCCTACTTTCACTTTTAAATCAGATAGTTTACACTAAACAAATGAAGTAGCGACAATTCTGAAGCTCAACATACTAATGTCTGCTATATCCTAGCCAGAAATTTGTCTCCCTTCTTTACTGTTTGGGTTTTACTTTTTAATTAGAAAATAGACTTGACCCCAGAAAGAAATCTGAATGCTAAGGACATACAGCTTTTGTTCTACCACCGTTTCCTTGCTAGAATATAAATCAAATACTAAAAGGTTTGCTGCCCTTTATAACATTTTTAATGTTCTTTTTATCCAGACTCACTGAAGAGATCTCTCAGATTAGTCTATGAAAGGGGTCCTATTCTCTAACAGCACTGGGGACAGGAAAAATTCAAGGTGAAGTTCATCCCTGACCCAACTATCAGCAATGAGCATTCCCCGTTCTATTGAATTTGACTCTCCATAGACCATATATGCCCCATCTTTACACTGGAATCTACTTAGTATTTTTCCCTCCAGCTACTCTAGCAGAAAAAGAGAACCTGGCAGATTCCTTGTATACTTATAACAAAAGGGGGGGAAATGCTAGGTCTCACAATTTAACAATAATCAACTCTCAAAGGCTATAACTGAAATAAAAATAATGATATTAACAAAGGAAATCTTAGCATATGGAATAGTTGAATAAAGACAGTCATCACTGGCCCATTATTTCTTCTTTCTATGTATAGAAGGAAAAAAAATATGTATATATCAATTTGATATAACACCTCATTGAAGTATCAAGATGCCTACAGCTTACCTTGAAATGGTTCACCAAAAAAGAAAAGATAAACTTTATATGGCAAAATAGTAATAATTGTCAGTCTAGGTGATGAGTACATAGGTGTTAATTCAGTAAGTCATAACTTTTCTGTGTGTTTGAAATTTTTTAGTGTTGTTGTTGTTATGTGCCGTGGAGTCAGACCCGACTCATATCGACCCCTCCTTGGGTTTCCAAGGCAGTATTACTATGGAAGTAGATTGCCCACCTGTCTGAAGAGTAGCTGGTGGGTTTGAACTACTAGCCTTCTGGTTAGCAGTCAAGTGCCTTAGGCACTACACTACCAGAGCTCTTTTTTATAGCATGAAGTCGAAAAAATAATGACATCTGATATTTAGACAGTACTTTTCCATTTCTGAGGAGAAATACAAACTGATTTGCTCCAAGTCACACAACTAGTAAAAGACAAAATCAACACTCAGCCTCAATTTCTGAATCTCCATGCCAATAAAAGTCATGTGGTATATTAGTTGTTCATCATTAAAACAAAATCTAATTGTTTTGATTTCCTAAACTCTTTCTAGAAGCACATCTTCCCGATCAAGAAGAGCAATCTACTTCATCTTCAGTCAGATATGAAATCTCCATTGCCTCTGCCTGTACTCTCCAGCCTCTGCCTATAGCAAGAAGGTGAGAAAATAGTGCTTGGCACACTATGATGACAAGAATGCAGGCTCTGGAGTGACTCTGTCAATTCTTATCTTGGCTCCACAATTAACTGTGTGACCTGAGGCAAGTAATTTAATCCCAGTGTTCATGGTTTCCTCATCTGTGAAAAGTGACTAATAGTCCTTACCTCATAAAGTTGTTTAATCACATTAACCAATACCTGCAAAGCACTCAGAACAGATCCTGGCACACGGTATTTTTGTTGTTGATAGGTGCCATTGAGTCATTTTTTACTTGTAGCAACCCCATGTGATAGAGTAGAATTGCCCCACAGGGTTTTCTCATCTGTAATCTTTATGGGAGCAGACAGCCAGGTCTTTCTCCCTCAGATGGGTTTAAATTGCCAACCTTTTGGTTAGCAGCTGAGTACTTAACCATTGTACCACCAGAGCTCATTTAAGTATTCAATAAATAGTAACCTGCCTTCTCTCCTCCTCCTTTTTCTTCTTCATCATTATTACTTAATATTGCTGCAACTCTTCAATTACCTGTAAAACAGTCATCTGCATGTTACTCTGTCCACTGCAAAGCCAGACATCTCCAAATAAGACATTACAAACTCTGAGGGTAAAATTCTTCCTCCCAGTGATCTGTTTTGCCATCACTTCAAAAGGTCCACCAGGTTTCATAGGATCCAGTACCACCATCCAGATACTAGAGTGTGCTGAAATAATAACAGGGCTACAAGAAGTTAGCCAATCAAGCAATTAAAATGAAATAAAAGCTCAATTCTGTCAGGCACCATACTCACTTGTGGCTATTACCAGTCTCTGTCATAAACTGAATTCAAAGCTATGAAGATTAGCCAAATTCTAGACAAGGTGATAGAACTAACAGGAGCAGCGGCATTTCTACCCTTAATCTGTATCAATTTTTAACTAAACATTTATAAGAAAAATAAATTGGCCATTTATAATCCTACATGATAAACAAAAGTACAAACATTAAAATTCAAGAGTTTAATAAAAGGCATAAAATAGAAATTCTCATTAAACTTTCCAACTGTCACTAATAACAATCATAATCTTTTAGATTTACAACGTGTCTCAAGCTGTTGTTGTTGTTGTTGTGTGCCATCGAGTCGGCCCCGACTCATAGCGACCCCTCCTTGGGTTTCCGAGGCAGTATCACTACGGAAGTAGGATTGCCCAACCTTCCTTCCGAGGAGTGGCTGGTGGGTTTGAACCGCCAGCCGTCTGGTTAGCAGGCAAGTGTCTTAGCCACTATGCTACCAGAGCTCCCAATAACAATCATAATCTTTTAGATTTACAACATGTCTCAAGCTAGCAAATAATTATTCAATCAATGTAAGCACAGGTTAGAGAAAACCATTTATAATCTGAAATTTCCCCTTACTTAGTACCTTCCTTGTTAACCATCCCTACTTCCTTCCCATGTTGGTAACAAGGATTAACACTACCAGTGGTTCTAGGTTCTCCTATCAACAATTTAACAGGTGAGTGAAGAAACGTATACATAAAGTAGTGGGAGACAGCTATCAACTCAGCAGTGCTCAAGGATGTTGGGGAACTGACGCTGCAGTATTGGTGGCACCTGATGGGTATGCCAGCAGCCCAGGAGGGGGCAGCGCAGTAGCCCTATGGCCCCAGAGCCTGTGAGCAAGATAAAATATATCTTCCTGAGGGAGAAGACAAGATGATGCCCTGGTGACACACTCAGCCCAGTTCCTGTACAATGAAGACCTGAGAAAACAAGTGAAATAGATACAGATCATAATCTTGTAACTCTGAGTATCAAATGAAAGTATAAATAATTTCATTAAACACCAATTAGAAAAAGAAACATAATGAAAAAAGTGATTGAGGAGAAAGAGCAGGGACCTGACACAGAGTGGCCATTTGGAGACACAGAAAGCAATATACACAAGTGAGGAGAAGTCAACTTCATAGACTCCTCATTAAAACAGAGACACAGAGTAAATAAATCCAGAGTGAAACAAGGAAGACATTGTTTCCCCACTGGTCAGCCACACTTACCATACCTATCACCTACTGTCCCATCCAATGGGTGAGTGCCACCATTCATTTCTGCACCATTGGATCAACGACAGACAGTGACCAACACCTACTCATCCACCCTCAGCTGCTCTTCATAACCATGGCCACATTTCCACCAGTTACTCCACTTACCTGGAGACAGGTAGGGAGTGTCCCAGTGCTGCCAAACTAGTAACCAAAGTAGCACGTCCACCCTGCTCACTCAGATATATTGAAACAAAGAAAAACAAAAAATTGGGATGAAACAAACCAGCACACAAACAACAAATAAATACAACAAATCCAAAATCCAACAAGTCGTCTCAGACAAAAGACGACTTCAAATCAAAGACTACAGGCCAAGATGGCAAAAACAAGTGGCCAACATTAAGATTTAGAAAACCTTCCTGAGGAAGAACATGTAATAAAACAACTTGGTAAGGAATTCAAAAGATTTATATATAGGACCATCTAAGAGATCAAAGAAACCACAAACAAAACCTAAGAAAACACAGACAATACCCTAGAGGAATTCAGAAAAACAATGCAAGAGCAAAATGACAAAATACACAATTAGAAACAATACAAAAACAGGAATGACAAATCCAGAAGATTAACACTAAAATTGCCAAGATAGATAACACATCACAAGGACAAAAGAGTAGAACTCAATGCATAAAAGACAAGATCGGCAAATCAGAAGACAAATCCCTTGACACCGATTTGTATGAGGAAAAATAAAAAAAAAGAATAAAGAAAGCCTAAAAATTATATGAGAAACTATCAAGAGGAAAAATTTACATGTAATTGGAATTCCAAGAGGCAAAAAAGGGAGAGAGAATTATCAAATATTTGCTAGCAAAAAACTTCCCTAATATCATGCAAAATGAAAAGATAACCATCCAAGAAGCTCAACGAATCCTATATAGGATAGACTCCAAAAGAAAGTCACCAAGACATATCATAATCAAACTTTCCAAAACCAAAGACAAAGAAAGAATCTTGAGAACAGCTAGGAAAAACAAAATGTTACCTACTAAGAGGAACCAATAAGATTAAGCTCTTATTTATTTCTCAGCAGAAACCATGCAGGCAAGAAGGCAATGGGATGATGTACATAAAAACCTCAAAGAAATAAATTGTAAACCAAGAATTATATATCCAGCCAAACTGTCCCTCAGATATGATGATGAAATCAGGATACTTCCAGATAAACTGAAATTAATGGGATTTGTAAAAACTAGAACTAACAAGAAATGCTAAAGGGAGCCCTTAGGACAAAGAACCAACAATGCCTGAGAACAAATTTAAGATTAAGATATATACAGTTCCGGCAAGATGGCGGACTAGGCAGAAGGGCTGCACAGACCCTCTTCAACAAAGAAAAGGGAAACCAATTAACACAGACACAGAAGATAATCTTGGACCCCTGAGCCTTGAAGGGAAGGATACAAAAG